GGGGGGTCACTACCGGTTCGACCCCCCCCCCCCCCCCTCCGGAAAACCGGGGGGGGTCTTTACCGGTTTGAACCCTCCCCCCCCCCAGTCCATCATGAAATGGGGGGGAGTCACTACCGGTTCGAACCCCCGCCCCCCCCTTCTCGAACACGGGAGGGGTCACTAATACTGGTTCGAACCCCCCTCCCCTCGAAAACCGGGGAGGGGTCACTACCGATTCGAACCCGCCCCCCCCACTCGCCGCTGGGCCGGCAAACGATTCCCGCTCCTCGGGACAGTTGGACAATGGTAGGGATGCTGGGACAGTGGTGGGAGCGGTGGTGGTGGGGACAGTGGTGCGGGGACAGTGGGACAGTGGTGCGGACAGTGGTGGGGACGGAGGTGGTGGGGACAGTGGTGAGGGGACAGCGGGACAGTGACAGTGGGACAGTGGTGGGGACGGTGGTGGTGGGGAATGGTGAGGACGGTGGTGAGGACAGTGGTGGGACAGTAGCACAGTGGGGAAAGTGGTGGGGACAGTGGGGACAGTGGGACAGTGATGGACAGTGGGGACGCTGGGACAGCACAGTGGGACAGCGGCGGGGACAGTGGGACAGTAGTGGGAACAGTGGGGACAGTGGGGACGGTGGTGGGGGCCGTGGAGAAAGTGGGGAGAGTGGAACCGTGGTGGGAACAGTTGTGGGGACAGTGGGGACAGTGAGACACTGGTGGGGGCACTGGTGGCGACAGCGGAGACAATGGTGGGAACAGTGGGGACAGTGGTGGTAAGGACAGTGGTGCTGGGGACAGCAGTGGGGGATGTGGTGCGGACGGTGGTAGGGACCGGGAGTCGTTTGCTGGCAGTGAGCGTTGGGGGGGGGGGAGGAGGGGGGAGGAGGGGGGGGGGGGGGGGGGAGGAACCTGGGTAGTGGACCCCAACCCCGTTTGCGAGGGAGGGGGGGGTTCGAACTGCATTGACTTCCCTCGGTTTTCGAGGGGGGGTGGGGGGGGGTTCGAACCGGTAGTGCCCCACCCTCCCGGTTTTCGAGGGGGGGGTTCGAACCGGTAGTGACCTTCCTCTGGGGGGGCTTCGAACCTTTAGCGACCCCTTCGAGGGGGCGGGGGGGGGGCGTTCGAACCGGTAGTGGCCCCCCCGGGTTTTCCGGAGGGGAGAGGGGGGTGTGGGGGTTAGGCGGGGGGGGGGGGGTTTGCGGAGGAAGGGGGGGGGGGACCAGCAGGGGGCGGGGATTTTCGGAGGGGGGTGGGTGGGGACCCTCGGGTGCCGGAGGAAGAGGGGGGGAGTTTTCCACAGTGAAGCGGCGGTGGATCACGCTCTCTCTGCTGATGATGATGATGATGATGATGATGATGATGATG